AGTGTTTCAAAGATACTGCCCATTTATAAGAGGTATAAAACCAGTAGCCTCCAGATATGTTCATATATATATATATATATATATATTTGTTGTTGTTGTTGTAAATATATATATATATTTGTTGTTGTTGTTGTAAATATATATATATATTTGTTGTTGTTGTTGTAAATATATATATATATTTGTTGTTGTTGTTGTTGATGCTGGGGATTGATCCAGGGCCTCACATATACTAAATACATGCTCTCTGACTGGGCCACACCCTGGGTCCTTGAATGTATTTTCTTCATGTTTCTGCCCACACCATTACATACCCCTGGGTGCTACAATGAAACACCTCTGACAAAGGAACAAAACAAAATCAAATTGTTCCCTTAACATATAATACACCTTCATCTCCAAGTTTATTATGTGCATGTGCTGAGCATCCAAGGTTGTTCTCAATTATAGATCGTCACTAAAATACCAGCTTAGGTACATATTTAATTTAATGCAGGATAATGGAAAGATATGAAATACTATTCTTTACTGAAAAGCAAACATTAATCTTTACCAAACCCCAAAAGAAACTCCTCGGGTTTTAATACTACCATCCAAACTAAAGACTGCCCAAATTTCCTAAGCAAAGTATTTTATAACAATATGATACAATTACAAAAACTAGAATTCTAGACTGATATTTGAACATTTTTATCACATTAACATTTTCCCAAAATGCAATGTTTACTCCAAGATTTAATCCAATGTAAACTCTTGTCACAAATACTAATAATCTGCTTAATCTACAGTAACTGAAGCAATCTAATATGAAAACAATCACAAGGAATCAAAAAATTCTCGGTTCTGGATAAACTACTATGTATCCAAAAGCTGTAACATGTGGTAGAAAATTTGAACTTAGTAAATACTATCTAGAAAAAGATCAAATATACTCAACACTGATAAAAATAAACCTAAAAGTAATAAAACACTTAAGATGTATACATCCTTTAAGTAGTCAAAAGTATGACATTCTGCAAGAATGAAAAACATGTTTAATTTATAATTGCAAGAGCAATGATCAAAGCTTGATTTGCTAAAGACAATTAAATTATTAAATAATGCCACATTGAGAGACAAGGTACTGACTTATATCCTTAAATCTTAACAGCATACTCCCATATACAGTAAATCCCTGACTTACAAACATTTGAGTTGCAAACTTTCATAGAGGTACTGTATTAACACTCACTTTAGCCAATAAGAATGAATCTGACATATGAATGTTCTCCCAGAATGACACTCATTCATAAGCCGGGACTTCCTGTATATAATAAAATCAAGTTGAAGGCTGACAAGAAAAGTATGACCAGATTTGGTGTTTTCCCTCATCCTTTGTTGCACTGGAAAACATTGTTACTCAGATAAAAAATGTAATAATTTTGTATTTCACAAGCCATACTCTTAGTTGTACTGGAATACATCTAATAAAGACGAGAAAGAAACAAGAGATTATATGTAACAACTAACCAAGAAACTCTATTATCATTACTTGGGCAAACTGAACACTTACCATTTGATTCCTCACTTTAAACTGAACAGTGAAAAAAGAGAAAGCACATAAGAGGGCCTAATTTCAAACCTTTAAAACAAACAGACAAGGATTACAATTTTCTTTAGTGTTCTCTCAAGGCAGACTAAGTGAACCAACTACCTTAATGTACTCCTATTAACAATGTTTTCCTATAACACAAAATAGTAGATACATCCAAAGAGCTTTTCTTAGTATTTCTTTTAGTGCTTAAATACCTTATACTAAAATGAATCATTATGAGGCTAGAACTAAATAAAACTGACACCAAAATGATGAAAGCCCTGTCTCTTCACATAATTTCTAATCAACATTTAAAAACTAAACTAAAATCAGAATAGATAATATTTCTCCCAAATATTTAATTCCATTGTCACAGGAATTATCATAGCTCATGTATATACTACTGAAGGTATGGTTGCTCTTCAGAAAATTGTGAGCATAGTAAATTTCATGTAAAGCTAACATAAATGATAATACACAGCAAAAAACGAAAGTATTCTACCTCAGGGTTCCAAAGACATTTTCTCTAATGACCTACAGAGCAAAGTTACTTTCCGCCAAAAAGTCTGTCTTCTTCCTTTGAGGGGCTCAGACTTGCAACACGTTACCACGCTGGCATGGAACTCCTAGACTCAGGCCTAACGCCTATCTCAGCTCCGGGAGGATCACTATGTTAAGCTTCCTTCTCCTTATCAATCACTCCTGAAAAACTCAAATAGCATCCTTATGTTGGTAGCGGGATATTGTGAAAATGGACTATAATTCAAGGCTACAGATTGCTGACTTCTGCTCTAGCCAAACTGATATCATTTATGATCTTCAAGTATGAAAAACTATTTCTGCAACTCCTTGAAAATAAGGTATCTTAATATTTAAATGTATTATCATCTCTTTACTGAGAGCATAATCTTGCATAAAAATAAATAGGCTACTTTAGAAATGCAGAAACCAAGCATGAGTAATATGAAATATCAAATTCATCTATTCTGACCATTCTTTAGACATCTATAAAATATTTCCAATAATAATTAATTTTAAATGCAGAAAGTTTTACATTAAAATAAGAATTTGCAATAATGCTATTTTAAAATGCAGCAATGTTCCCAAACAATTTAAAATTAAAACTCTCTGATATTAATTATATTTATACCAAGTGGCAGTAAACATAATACTGGTGTAGGGTTTAACTGTAACTTACTTCAAAGATTACAGTCTACAACTGAATTTATGACATACACAATGTAATCAAGTCTAGCAGGACACATTGTATTTAATCATCTCCATCTAGTCCCCTAAAGTGACTGTTCACACATATAAGGTTCTTATAAATACCTACCTATAGATTTACACCAAAATGTAAAATTCACGTCAGAAAAATATTAGTTAACTCCATCAATTTTACTACCACAGCCTTTTACCACAGTGCAGTAAATTATGAAGATGCACAATTTCCTATAAGAAATTTTTATCACAGATGGCTTACACAGGATTATATTAGAAGACAAAACCACAAGTAATTGCTACTGGGCCTAAAAATTTTTAATATTCCATTTTCTTTTATACCACATTCTCACACTGGTAGATGCAGTAGAATTTATGTGCAAATGTAACCACCAAAAAACCCTCAACTAAGGCCTAAAACATGACTTTAAACAAGGGCTAAGTTCCAGGAAAAAAAAAAGAAATACAAAGTAATCAAAATAAGGTAGAAATTAGTCAACACAATTTATAATGCTTAAAACTCGTAAGTAATTTGATAGTGCAATTTAACACTCAATCTTATAGCACATAAAATCATCAAAGGTTTGTTTCTGGTTTTTTGGGGTTTTTTGGACAACATCTTCCTATGTAGTGTAGGCTGGCCTTGAACTCACTTATGTACCCTAGGCCAGCCTCAAACTCATGATTATCCTTCTGTCTCAGCCTTCCCAGTGCTGGGACTACAAGCGTGTACCACCACGCCTCACATGAAAAGTTTTTCTAATTATATTTATATGCTAAGTAATTTTCTTTTAAAACATATTTACTTGACAGGAAGATAAGTATTTCTTGTTCTGTAAGTTAGGATTCATTTTACATTATGCACTGCCCCCCGAAACTGGAGACTCAATCTAGGGTATTTACACTGAACTTCAGCCGCCGTCATTTATTTATTTATTTACTTAGTCTTTTTGAGACAGGGTCTCGCTATGCAGTTTAGGCTGGCCTTGAGCTCACTTTCTAGCCCAGGTTGGCCTCCAACTCACAAGATCCTCCTGCCTCAGCCTCCCTGAGTGCTGGGATTACAGGCATGCACCACCACATCCGGTCTGAGCCCTTTATTTTTTGAGATAAGGTCTCACTAAATCACTAATTTGCCCAGCCTGGTCTCGAATTTGTGATCCTCCTGCCTCAATCTCCCAGAATGCTGAAATGACAGGTGTGCACCACCACACCCAGCTATGTAAGTATTCTTTCCTTTAAACAAAAGTTTTGAAATTGCCTAGGGAAAAGAAAACGGAGACAGAGAAAGTCAGAAAAAGGGATTAATAATGTGAAATAGTACTCATAGCCATATAATACCAGATAGTTTTCAAGGCCAACATTCGTTAGTTACATGTCTACATTTTAAGATATTTAGTAGTCTTGTTTGCCCCAACAGCATGCTCTGCAAAAAAATCCTTGGTGAGATAAAAGTCTTTTGAATAGCAACATGCAGAAAATTCAGAGAAAAAGGACTGTATTAAACACTACAATGGTGTCAGCAAAATCCAGGATATGAGACACTGTACAACATAAAGCTTAATCTTGAAAAAATATTAGGAAAAATTTAAAAAGAAGAGGAAAACTATATACTAAAACTGGACACATCAAAAAAGAAATGAAAAGTAATATTTATGAGACTTAAAGTTAGACTTTGGTAAAAGAACTAAGAATTTTTAATACATGAAAGAAGTAGTTAAAAGAAGATACCTCATCTTTTAGAGACACATACTGAAAATACTTATGAACTGTACCCTCTGATGTGAAGTAGTCACATAAAATAGTCTGGGAAACAAAACAGGTGTAAAGATAAACCCTGTGTTTAAAACTGTTACGGGCATACACTAGTCGCCTTCTGTACATCGCCAAAATCTTCCAAAATAAAGACTTGTTCAATCAGTACACGGTTAAGATCAATCCAGAGAAAACAGCTGTATCAATTTCCAATTTAAGAACACTTCTGAAAGTATCAGTTAAAACAAAAACACAAATCCACTTCATGAAACATGAATATTGCTTTCAGAAACTAATTTTATTACCTGAAAGAGTAAGAAAAAGTTTAAAAATGACAGGTTCAGAAAGGTTAGAAAACACACTATCATATATAGCAAAGTTTAAGAACTTCCAAATACAGATCACCCACCTGACAATACAAATTCACTCAGTTAACTAGTAGTTTACTTACGTTTTCCATATAGTTTGGTTTAAAGCCTTCCTGCTGTCGCCTCAATTCCTCCTGTTCTCTGTGTCTAATCATTTCTTCTTCACGACGACGATGTTCCTCTTCATGTCTGGAAGTGTTTTTTAAAAATTTCATTAGTATAATAAAAGCCACAAAGCAGTACTGTATTTTATGTAATACAAAATAATCTATATACATTACAATATGATAAATCTGTGAATGACTGCCATTTTAAGTCTACCTTCCTTTTTCTACTCTGTTCCAAGACTCTAACTAAGAATGAAATAATGAGGATAAACCTAAAAACAAAGTAACAACACATAAGGAAAGTGATATGCTTCCATTTTAAAAATTAAGATTCCAAAAAGCTCTCACACTATAAAAAGAAACAGCTGGGATCTATCAGTGGCACAGCAGAGTTTTTAAAGATACTCAAAACATATCCAGAAATAAGCCACCTTAAAGAACCACACAGCAGCTGGGCGTGGTGGCGCACACTTCTAATCCCAGCACTTGGGAAGCTGAGGCAGGAGTATCGCAGAGAGTTTGAGGACATCTTGGAATCCAAAGTGAGTTCAGGGTCAGCCTGAACTACACAGCAAGATCCTGTCTCAAAAAACAAAAACAGAAACAAAACAAACCACACAGTCTAGATACAAATTCTCTTATGTGCAGAATGAAGAAGCCTTCCAAACCCCATTTTGCCCAATGTCGTCAACCTACTGAGTAGATCCCACAGCGTTGTCTACCAAGAACTTCTTCCGGTAAATTAACTTTTCCTGAACAATAATTTACTGTCAAAAGCTACTCTAGCCAGGCCTGGTGGCACACACCTGTAATCCCAGCACTCAGAAGGATGAGTCAGGGGGATCACTGAGAGTTCTAGACCAGCCTGGGATATAAAGTGAGCTCAAAGCCAGTCTGAACTGCATAGTGAGACCTGTCTCAAAAAAGACAAAAAACAAAACAAAACTACTCTAGGGCAGGATTAGTTAAAGATCCTATGATGTATATGGCCTAAAATATTTGCTGTCTTATCCTTTTCCAGAAAAAGTTTGCCAGCTTGCTTAAATCAAGTAAATCTTTAAGCAAAAATCCTGTGTGTGCCAATTACTATCATATTGCTAAACAATAGTATGATCAAGAGAGAAAACCTACATAACAATACTGAATAGACACACAAAGTATTGGCATTAAATCAATGGAAATTCAAATATATGTGCCTTATACACACACAAAAACCGTTAACAGTAATTTAAAGAGTAAGAGCTATACAAAGCCCACACCCCTTCTGCAGGCCTCATGTTCAGGTTACACTTACAAACCCTTTCTACGTTCAAAATTGAGAATGTAATCCTCAATTAGAAGATGTGTTGTTCTTTGTTCCACAACATTACTATCAACACAAGTCCCCTAACGGGGTGATTTCTTATACTCACAGGAGTAAAAATACAGTATTCCTGCATTTCAAGGTCAACCAATTTAAAGTGTTGTCTAATTCTTCACAGTACAACTAACACTAATTTTTAGAAATATTCCTACAAATGACTTCATCCATTTCCTACACACTAATACATCCATAAATCTTACTGCTACCAAAGCAGCTGAATGTGGTAACACACGTATGTAAGTCCAGAACATGAAGGCTGAGGCAGAAGGACTGCTGCAAATTTGAGGTCCGCCTGGGCTACACAGTGAGTTCAAGGCCAGGCTTAACTACATAGAAAGACCTTGCCTCCAAAAACTGAAATACTCCCATGTTTTAAAATTTAGGGTTTTTTATTTCCACAATCAAAAACAAAGAGTATGTTAGCGCTTATGTTCACAGTGCTTTACGTATTAGTGGTCCTTAAATAACCACATCAATATTTATTTTTTGGGTTCCAGGAATTGAACTTAGAACCTCACACTTTGCTAGGCAGGCACTGCACCACTGTGTTAAACGTTGGGCCCTCAATATTTCTGTGATCTGAAAAAAAAGTTTTACATGAACACAACATGATTTCAAGTAATGTTTCAACATTAAATACACCTGAATCTGATCCAGATACATTAAACTACATTAAAAATTTAATGAGACATTTTAAGAAGACTTTTTCTTCCACATCATGTCTTCAAATGTGCAGACAGAATATAAACTTGTGGTGGTGGGGCAATGTTTAAAACATAATTTTAAATGTGCAAATTCATTTCCAGTAAACTGAACAGTAATATCACTACAACAGAGCAAAGATATATACATAGACGTGCAAAGATGGATGTACACAGATACATATGGTGGTACTACTTAGAAATCAAAGGCTGAAGACGTATCAGCATAAGTGGACAACAATTAAGGTTCACTAGTGCCAGGGAACAGAAGTGTTACAAAGAAGTACATGTGCATCTATAGGCATCAAAGAATATCTATACTACTGTTGCCAGGAAAAAGGCAAACAAAAGGACAGGGTTACTATTACTGCTTTTAACAATCATTTATGTTGAGTATGGTGGTCCATGCTTAGTGCTAGTTATGCTGGAGGCAGCAGGGTCACTGATCTCCACAAATCTGCCTGGCTGGGAGGACTGTGCTGCTTCGAAATAAAAGCTACATTTGCCTATCCCGTCAGTAAAAAGCCGTGATGCATTTAGTAGGGCGTCCCTCAGCTGGCGTTTGTCTGATGTGGCCCTTAGGACTGGACCACGTGTTTTGGGAGGGAGACCACAGAAGCGCCACTTTCTCACGTCCTATCAGAGGCACAGGCTGGAACCAACACGGCTTCTCCCTCAGGATGTCCACCTGGACACCCGGCAGAGGCAGGCCTGTCAGGTCCCTCCATCCTGACGTTACTGCCTCCCTCCTCTCACGTTCTGCTGTGGAAGACAGTTTTTCCTCTGAGCCCACACTTCAGCGGTGAGGAGTGGGGCTCCCTCGCCCTGAAGCTGGAGTACCCAGGTCATCATCTCTTAGTCTCCCACACATGGGCATCCTTTCACCCAATGAGTTTTCAGTCAATGAGTTTTTATACCAGTGAAGACTCGTGACTATTCACTTTATGCTTTGGAAACAATATTAACTTCGTTATTTTGATGTTCAATTGTTTTCACTTTGGTCAGTGAGAGCTGTTTCATTTGCTCATTTCCCACTGGATCCTCTGCCCCACCTGCTTTCCGTCTGACACTGTAAGATGCTCCAGGCTCGTCCTGCAAACTCTCAGTCCTAGAATCCCCTGTCTTCCCAGAGCGCCCGTGTTGGAGGTCCTCTGAGCTTGCTTTTTCACTGTCCTCTCCCTTGAGAGGGACCCTGGCTGCGATTTCCAGCGTAATGTATTCTGGGGTCTCAGCAGGTATCTCTTGAAGGATTGAATTCAACAAGTATTTGTTGAGTGGGTTAACTGCAAACCTGAGGAGAAGCATCTGCCTGGTGCAAATGAGGAAAAGAGCAGTTCAGACACGTCCCATAATCAGTCACGTGCCTTCCACTCAGCAGGATGGAAGCTAGGGAGGAAGCACAGAGCACTCGTCAGGCTCTCAAAATGCTCAGGCCAACAGGGTGGTGTGACAGACACTGGCAGAGGGAAAGGGGGCGCCAAATATGGAGGAGCCCCATCCCACCCAAGCCAGAGGTCAGAGGCGACCTCAGTAAGGGACGGAGCATAGCGCAGTGGTTTTCTGCTGCACAGGCCCAGAATCCAAGTCATCAACCAAAGACGCTGGGTGCTCAGCCACAATGCCACTGCAGCGGTCCTTGGAGGAAGGGCACCTGCCTGGCGTGCCCTTGGTGGGAAGGCCACTTGGGAGGCCAGTGCAGCCCCACACCGGCCTCTGCTGAGCCGAGAATCAGTGTCACAGCGGGAGGACACCATACAAGGCTCTTTTCCTCAAACACGGTCTGAGAGACTGAACTTCTCCGAGAAGAATCTGGTGTATCATCCAGAGGCAGGATCATGCCCAGACAAGGGCTGGACTCTGCTGTTGACTTCTTGCTTTCCACACTGCATTCAATGCACCGCTCTTAAACGTAGCTTCTTCTCTCTATAAATATGATTTTTCTTCTTTTGTATTTATTCTCTTTAATAAATAATATTTGTTTTTTAGTATGTCCAAGTTTTCTGCCATAATGTGTCAGTAAATTCTCCGGCTCAGTACTAACTGCTGGGTGGCATCTTCATGACTTTTAGTGCACATCTTATGGTGACAGTGTAACTCTTGTGTTTGCTTACAGAACACGTTTTATAATACACGCCCCTCACACAAGGTATCATTTCACACTACGGAGATTAATGAGACAGAAAAGAGCCTATTCTGTTCTGCAGGGGCCAGTGAGGCGCACAGTTCCAGGAAAGCGCCCACGCCTGGCTGTGGAGGAGAAGGGCAGCGCGGGTGTCCAGGACGGTGGGTGGCCGCTGGGTCAATGCGGTACGTGGGCGAGTGCGGGGAGACAGGCTGTTGCCTGGAGTGGAGAACCTGCGCCGGGGCACAGAGAGATCTGGGATCAGGCCGCAGGATGCAGGTCGGGTATTGAGACTCGCCAGGACACAAGCACCAGGGGTAGGCAGCACTTGGCTGAAACTGAACCCGGGAACTTCAATGAAGCCCGTGCTCATGAAGAGCAAGTATGCCCCGAGCGTTGTGATGGCCGAGGGCCCGTTCCAAAACTCGCTGCCATTATGACAGGATCAGGAGTGGAGACCTTTCAAGGGTGATCAGGACACAAGGGTCCTCAGCAGAGGGCGAGCTGGGCACCCTGCCCTCCTCACCACCCGCTCCTGCTCCACGCCGAGGAAGGGCTGGCTCCCCATCTTGGAACCAGAATCACCAGACCTGCTCGCATCCGGATGTTGGACCTGGAGGACGTGGGCACTGTGAGCCAGGGGCTTTGTGTGCATCGTCCATCCCACACTCCGTGGTGTTCCCTACACGGGGCACAGCACCTCCTGAGATGTGGCCGGCCACAGCCGCTGCTCCTTTGGCCAGCAGTGATGGTTTCGTGTTTCTGCGAGGTGGAGGCTCCCTGCTGAGCTGGCCGGGTGCACAGGGTTTGCCACACTGAAGGCCGTTTCAACACAAACTGCAAACAGTTGCAGTCAGTGCCCACTGGGCAGGGGGGTGGGGGATGGAGAGGTCATG